GCCGGGCCCGCCGCGGGGCCGCCGGGGGCCGGGCGTCCTCGGGCATCTCCCGCAGGCCGAGGCGCCGCCGCCGCCGCTCCTCTCCAGCCAGGGCGTTGCGGGCCGGCCGCGGGCTAGGCCTCGCGTGGCAGCCGCGGGGCTCGCCCCGGCCGCGCACTCCAGGCGACGCCGCGCCGCGGGCGAGGCGGATGGTCGCGCTTTCCGAGTGTCTCTCCCTTTCTCGTCCCGAGAGCGCGGCGGGGGCGAGGGAGGGAGGAGGCAGCCGCGGCCCGCCTGCAGATCCGAGTTGTTGTGTTTGCTTCTGCTGCCTGTGCTCTTTACATAACGCCTCTCTTTCCGTGCGGACACGGCTCTGGCCTGCTATTTTGTGAGGATGAATGTGAAGCGGATCTCCCCCTTTTCTGACTCCGGAGCGAAGCGCCCCGCGCTTCAGCAGCAGCGGCAGCAGAGTTATGTTCCGATGGGAGCGTCTCCCCGTAAACTTGAGGTTTTAACTTTCTCAGGTGCAGCTGGCTTGGGCAGTCTTTTGGATGTATACCTACATAAGATGCATGGTCAAAGCTATCCCAGGGAGGCTTCCAGTCCGTGTCTTTTGTAACTCAATCCCAGCTTTTGAAAGTTCTCTGGGTGCTTTCCTTTACTACTCCCAGTTGATCTGCTTTACAAAAACATGGTTGGGGACAACCTGTAAATTTTGTTTTCTTACAATTATTTGCAAGCTTTTTCTGGGGTGTAGGGATGGCAGGCTGGTTTTTCTGGAATCTTTTCTCCATCTCTTTTGGAGGAGCTTGTCTCAGTTTTGTAGGTGGGTGCTGTCTTCTCTTGATGAATGGCATTTTGCTGCCACAAGTTAAGAGTTGTTGAAAAATGAGCCTGGTACACTGCCAATTCAAATGCCAGTTCTAGCATTGCTTTCAGTTTTAGTTGTAGGCCAAATATTCTTGGATACACTTTTCTTTTTCTGACATGGCTGTGCTCTGATGGACTAGCCCAAACTTTCCAGCTTTCTTTTTAGTTTCTGGGAGTTGTTAAAAAGTTGCATAACTGTGTTCTTTTCTTGCAGGCATACAGACTGCTTACTTGCATGTCAAATTGGGAATATAAAGGGCTGGCCTGAGATGTGCTGAACTCTTATCACCTGTATGATATGGTTGTTTACCAGCTGTTTTGGGAATTTATTGGAAGACATGAATCAGTCCCTAGCAGGATATAGGCTTTTTTAAACATGAAGTAGGAAATACTAATGTTGGAAAAAGGAAGAGCAACTTGGGGCAAAAAACGTGTATGCTATGGTTAACGGGTTCCCATTCTCCGATCATCTGTTTTCCCATTGTGTGAAACTCCTTCAGCATAGGGATAAGGGATAACGACTCTATGGATATACAGAATTTTTCACCATGGTAAAACTCGCTAACCCGTTGTACACTGAGTGGATTTTGGAGGCAATTAAAAAGGTCAAGAAGCAAAAACAACGCCCTTCAGAAGAGAGGATATGCAATGCCGTGTCTTCGTCCCATGGTTTGGACCGGAAAACTGTTCTGGAGCAGTTGGAACTAAGTGTTAAAGATGGAACCATTTTAAAAGTTTCCAATAAAGGACTTAATTCCTATAAGGATCCTGATAACCCTGGACGAATAGCACTTCCTAAACCACGAAACCATGGAAAGTTGGATGGTAAACCAAACGTGGACTGGAATAAACTGATTAAACGGGCAATAGAGGGCTTGGCAGAGTCCAGTGGCTCATCCTTGAAGAACATTGAGCGCTTCTTGAAAGGGCAGAAGGATGTGTCAGCTTTGTTTGCAAGTAGTGCCCCTTCTACCTTTCACCAGCAATTGCGGTTGGCTGTCAAGCGTGCTGTTGGCCATGGCCGACTCCTTAAAGATGGACCTCTGTACCAGCTCAGTACTAAAGCAGCCACAAATGCAGAGGGGAAGGAGAGCTGTGAGTCTCTTTCTTGTCTTCCTCCAGTATCGCTCCTTCCCCATGAAAAGGATAAGGTAAGAATTATGTGCTCACCAAACCTTGCCTATGGTGATGAAAGATGATGAAACTTCTTAAAAATTAACTTGTAAAATTCTTGATATTGTATAGTAACTTGAGTATGATTTGTGGACTGGGAAGTTCTGAGTTCAAACCTCACTTTAGTCCTGAATTCCAGGAAGTTTTCAGCTAAACTTGGTCTTATCTTCTCATCTGTGGTTGTAAGGGTGAGAAAGTATGCCTATGAAATTCTTTGAACTCTCCAAGTCTATAAATGTGATTAAAAGCAGTAAGGACAAACCTTGCACATTTTAATGATGCATAGTTTCTTGTCTCTGAGGTTTGGTTGTTTGTAAATTAAACCTTGCACCTTGGAGAACTTTGTTTCCCAAATATACAGTGTAGAAGTTGTTGTTAAGCCCTTCCCTACTCTCTGAAAAATGAGGGTGACTTTAGAATGGTAAAGAGTGCTTTATATTCTAAATTATCAGTGGCTGTCAGCATAGCAGATATGAGTTGGGACTCTGTATTTGTTGTGCACTTTAAAAAATGGCGCACATGAAGTTCATTGAACATGAACCAGGACAAACTTGATACTACGTTTGTAGAAGCCACAAGACAATAATATCATTAGCAGTTTATTTATATTGATTGCAGTATATTCTGACTTTTCAGTTACTGTCCAACTCTCTTCTTCAGAGTATGTTCCTCTGTGTCCAAGGATATCCAAGGATATAATTTTCTTCTCATGCAACTAGAGCAATTCTGGCTGTTAGATGCATCTTTTCCCAAGCAACGAAACTTCTGTGGAGTGCTGGTGAACTGTGTTTCTACTTTCCTTTCTGCCAGCACTGTGTCATTTGCTAGCACACAAAACCTTACAGATTTAGTGCCTTAAAGAAAGTGCTTTCTAAAAACTTAAAGAAAGTGCTTTCTAACTAGAGCACTTTCAATTATGTGACAAACACTTAGATTACATTATCTCTCTCCCAGTACTCTTTTCTTTATGCTTGTTTTTGCTAGTGAAACAAATCTAATGGCCATTCTAGTGGAGGGCCTGGTAAGTGTATAGTAAGTGCTTGTATTCCATTAATTAATCCTAGAATACCATTGTTTTGTGGGGAGAAGAATTGGAGAAGAATTGGAGTGGGATGTGGCATTAATGGCGGGAAGTTTAAGTGCTGATATTCACTGCAGTCTTGAGATACTTAGGAACCATAAATATAATTCCAGTGCATCTTGTATAACAGTGTGTTAAAGACTAGGGCAACAGTGAAGACAACTGGAAGACCAGAGTTAAAGTCCTTGCTAAGTCACAGGCTTGTTGGATGATATGTAGTTGGCTCATGGCCTCAGCTCACCTTCTGCTAAGTAGGAATAACAGTGACCTGCCTGTTTGACAGTGATGATACGAACATTAAGAGCTTTGATGGTCACAGATGTAATTCGCTATTACAAGCTTAGTAAACATGGTGAGAGAATGCTGAGGGTTATATGAATCCATTATAAACTTCTAAATATCGGATGTGTCTTCTAGACTGTGCTCCTAGCTGTTCAGAGTTTTCTGTCCTCCGTACTGTTTTGTTTTTGAAAATTATTAGTTATTTCTGTACACCTCAGTTTTCAAAACCCTCTGGGTGGCTTACAACAACACATGAAATGCAAGAAAGCATGGTATAAAATGCAGATAACAACATAAAAAGTCATTACAACATGTAAATTCCGAATAAAAAACAAATTTAAACTGTAATAGCCATCACAAATTAAAACAAGACCTGTTAAATGTTGACATAATACCCCAATTTACTATTTAGAGTTAATTAAACACCTCGATATAGAGGATAACCTTAACCTAATGCCAAAAGGACAGTTAGCTTGGTGCCAGGTGGGCCTCAGTGTGGAGCTTGTGATTGTGGGACTGTCACTGAGAAGGCCCGCCTCATTTCCATCAACTGACCCTTCCTTGGAGGTGGCGGTTGGAAGCAGGCCCTCCATCTTGGTCATAGTGTCCAGGTGTATTACATCTGGGAGAGGTGTTTCATCAAGTGTTGTTGTCCCAAGCTTTGTAGGGCCTTTTAGGTTAAAAACAACACCTTGAATTACATATAGGCAGCCACTGTGTGTTTGGACATTCTTCAGGGGCAATCCCATGTAGAATGTGTTGCAGTAATATAATGTAGATACATCAGGGCATAAATTGCTATAGAATATGCACTTTAAAGTATTCAGGAAGGAAACAGTGTATCACAGCTGGTTTCTTTATGATGGTTTTAAGGATATGTTCATTAATTATTTCTAAGTGAAAACTAATTTTTGTTTAATTTCTCACTTCTGAATGGTTTGCTGTAGATGTCAGTAGTTTAATTTTGTTAGATAATACGTTTGAAATGGTAAGCACATGGGGTGACTGCATTGCCAAGGTAGCAATTGTCTAGCCAAGTTGTTTATGTGTAAAACAAATACTGTTGTGAAACTGTGCTTTGTTTTCTTGGAATTCTTAAACCAGATTGTGCCTTTCCTGTGCCCTAGCATTTATCTAGCACACCTTCCCACAAGCTGGTGCCTTTCAGATTTCTTTTGAACAACTCCCATTAGCCCCAGCCAGCTTGGCCAGTGGTCAGGAATTCCAAGAGTTGTAGTCCAAAACTTCCAGAGGGTACCAAACTGGGGAAGGCAGCTCTACAATAATGTTTGCTTGGTGCAGGCAGTATTGGTGAATATCCGAGAAAGTGTATAACAGATTGGGATTCTAGCTGTGGCTTCCTTTGATCACGTGAAGCAGTTTGGGTTTTCTTTGAAGAAAATATTCTTCTTGATCATTCCAACAGCAGTAATTGATTATGTTTTCCTTGAATGCACCCAGTTCTTCTGAAAACTTAAATATTAAGATGTAGAAGATTTTCTGATAAGATGCTCCTCCATCCAAACAGCATTAGAATCCAATTATATTCCCGTAACAGCTTGTGATATAGATTGGATGAGAAACGGTGACTGATTCAAGTACATTCAGTTTAATTTATGGCCATGCAGAATGTTGATTCCATAACTTCTGTCTGAAATTGTACTTCTGCATTCTTCAACTTGGTGCCTGCCAGATATTTTGGACTACAGCTCCCATCAGCCCAAAGGAACATAACACATCTGTAGGGCACCAGGTTGCAGGAGGCATTTCTATTGCTACCTTGCTTCTCTTCACATACTGTTATTTCTATATTTTTGACAAAAAATCACAAATAAATATTAGGAGGGATAACCTCCCTTCAGCTGGTGTTCTTAAGATAATATTGGACTACAGTACCCAGCACTCTGCACCACTGGCCATGTTACATGGGGTTGATTGCAGCTCAGAATCTGCTTCTGTGTGCCTGCATGCATGTGAGGAGAGAATTTTATCATGCATCCTCTTCTAGAAATCTATTTTTATCAGTGCCTTGCTCCCCCCGCCAAATACAGATGCCTTCTTTGCCCTTTAATTTGTTGCTGTAGCAGCTTATTTTTGATACTCATGAAAGTGCATATTGTGTATATTTGTCTTAATTTTCCCCATGAAATAGAGAGCTGGCAAGTGACTCCTAGACTGTACTGCAGAATGTCCAGTAGTGTAATGTTGTGCTTGATGGAGGGGAGATGTGTCACAGGAGGGAATACTTATGCTGAGTTTTCGCTTCCATACCTGTTCTCTACTCCCCCCAAACACACATTTACTTACCTTATTTTACTCCACTTTTTAGACAGTAGTTGCTTTCTAAAGCAGCTCACACCAGTCAAAAAGATGGGCAGGCAGTGCCATCGGGTTAACCCACTGAAAAGACAAGCCACGCAAAGGAAGGGGAGTGGAGGGAAAAGAGGAAAGTGATCACTTGTTCAAGACAAGAACAAGGTGGTGAGGTGTAACTGGACCTTTAAAAGCATAATTCTTTGCAATTTTAAGCAGGGGCATGCTGGGAGCTATTTTTCTGTTTAAACTTGCATAGGATTGCCCCCTAAGAGCATTTCAGGCAAGGGTGATTTTCTCTTGCAGGTGTTCTTGCTTGGATAGCAATTGGAGGCTGTTTGGCTGATGGGTGGGGCTAGTGTTCCTTCCCCTTGTTCCTGCAGTTGCAGGGTTACAGGCAGCTGGAACTGAATTTTTGCTTTTGGCAAGGCGAGAGCTTCCTGGAACTACTCCTCCTGACAGATGAACTGGCTAGTTTGATTTGATGTTATTCTGGTGAAGCAAAGAGTGCCGCCTCCCTGTGGCACTTATCCCCTGGCTGATGGCAGAAGCTGGAATTGGTTTCTTTCCTTTTCTCCAGCATCAAGGCAAAAGTCTAAGGTTGTAATCCAAAGCCATCTTGGTAGAGTATAAGCTTGATTGAACCTTGAAAGGACATGCTTAGGCATGGGTTCTGAGATGCTTGTCATCGATACGATGACACCCAGCTCTGTTTCTCCTTTTCATTAAATTCAGGTGAGGCAGTGGCTGTCCTAAAACAGTGTTTGGGCACGGGAATGGCCTGGATGAAGGCCAGTGAGGTGAGACGCAATCCACACATGATGGAGGAACTGCTAGTAGGTGGTTTGCCCCTATGGATGAATATTTAACTGCTTCTGGAGGGGCCTACGTTCCCCTAGGATCAGTTTGTAGTTGATGCTCTTCCCACATGAGGCACAGCGGGAGGTGGTGGCATGGAACACCCTTTGCCAGCCGAGGCTGATATTCCAATGATGTCTTTATCTGGATAGAGATAGCCTAGCTACAGTTGTCCATACCTTGGTAACTTCTCTGCTGGATTACTACAGTGTGTTTTATATGGGGCTGCCTTTGAAAACTTTCCAGGAATTTCTCCTGGTTCAAAACAGGGCAGCCTGATGATTAACAGAGAGTGGCCAGTGTGCTCACATTTGGCTAGTACTTAAGCACTTGCACTGGCTGCCATTTAATGTCCAGGCCTGATTCAGCATCCTGGCATTCATTCAGAACTCTTGGTGGCTTGGGCCAAGGTTACCTGAAAGATCATCATCTCCCATATGTACC